CATTATTTACGTACAACTTTAAGGTAGCCTTTTTCCATAAGTTAAGTCCTTCTTACAAATCTTCCATTAAAACTAGTATATTTAAGCGTTATTTAAATGAACCCAAATCAGCTCTAGCCATAGCGCCCTCTGGTTCACAAGTAGTGTGTGGAAAAAGAGACCACAAAAAAATATACATTTTTATAAATCCTTCTCAGAGCACAAGATTTCTATGGCCTATCTGATTTAACAAGATAAGGAATCCTAGACTCTTCTCGACCTCCTCAGATGGCATATGAAAGACGAATTAATTCATCTGGTAAGCGAGATTAGATTGTGTTTGATTGAATTCAGAAGAGATAGAGTTGCAATTAGGCCCAATTGGGGTCCATAAAAACGGGCCTAACAGGGAAATAGACTCTTAAGATGTTTATACACTCAAAGGAGACTGATCACCTTCTATTTTATTGCACATAACATCATATTCCCTGGCCTGCATACATGTCACACTTTCGTGGGCCGGGAACATGATCAGATGGAGAAGGCAGCCAACGAACAGCTGACGGAACGTTGTGAGTCGGGGGAGAAAAGAGCCGAAGCCAGCGAGCGCCGGTGCACAGTGATGGAGACGCGACTGGAGGAGGCACAGGAGACAATTGTCAGACTGGAGCACCAGTTGCAGAAAGCAGCAGAAAAGATAGAGTGGCTGACAGAATCGCACGATCGAACAAAAGAGGATGAAGCAGCACTCAGGGTGTGTACAAAGAATGAACAGAAAAATAAATGTCTGCGGATTCGCATGAATGGTTAAATATGTAAATGAAAAAAGTTCCCTTATTGAATTATTCGTAAAAATAAGAAAATGTAAACTTAAAAAGAATCAAGAAATCAAAAATCAGAGAAAAATATTTCAGAAGATAAGATATTATAGCAGATAGATTAATATTATCCAAGTAAGGCCATTGTATCATAAATCAGAAAAGTGATATTCACTAAATATTATGAAAAACAGCAGATAGGAAATCAAATGTCCACAGCCCCTCTCAACGAATTTTCATTCATCACATATCATATTATAAAAACGAGTGAAGAGACATGAAGTCAAATTTAAACTATTCTCAAACACACTTAACTCATCAAATCTAATCTCGTATAAAAACATATCAATCATATCAAAAAAATTGATCCCATCTCATCTAATCTCATTTCATCAGAATACAACTGATCACATCTTAACTCATCTCAGCTAATTATATCTAATTGTATTGTATCTAATTACTCTCATCTCATCTCATCTCATCTCA